ATGCACATTTTCAGTACTCAGTTCACCATGTGATCTCCACAAATACTTTATTAACAACTAATTTATTCAATCGTCGTGCTGCACTATTATACAGTTTAATAGATGTCTGAGCTGAAATTGATTCGTTGATGAAATATAAAAAAATGGTTGTTCAAGAATAAATATATTCACCCGAGGTCTGAAAGTTATGAATGAAATCCGTGAAAATTCTCTTACTAAGTTTCAAACAATGAGACACCCCTGGATAAAGACTTCTGCTGGATTTAGCGATAATTTTCTTTTTGGCTTCCTTTAGCAGTCATAACGCATAACAAATTAGACTTTTACCGTGAATTCATTATTACATTGTTTTAGTGAATTTCCCATTACCCATTGAGATATTACCGTAGGCCTCATGATAAGACTTAGACCTGGGGCTGATTTAATTTTTCGTTTTGATGTCTCCATAAGCTAAAAACATAATCCATTCAAATTTAAACACACACATTTATATATACCACTAATGATAGCTGTAAATATAGGTAGATACCGTTAGCACCATAACTCGAGAAAAAAATTATTTTCCGAACTAGTTCACGAATTAGCATGATTGAACTGTGGGAAAAGGGTTTTACGGGGGTTATATGAAGGTTTGAAGGTATGAAGGATTTCCAAGTTTTTACCCTAAAAGATAAAATTTCACAACCAATCCATTTAGCATGACTTAAAAAATTCGTATATTGAATCGTTGTTGTGTGCCAACGGTTAGGGATATTTTTAACAAATTGTAAATTAAAAATATCCATGTTATTTTATGGAGAATAAATCAACTGTTGTACTTCATTATATTGAGTTTTACTCCTGATCGCATATAAATACTTAAGAATTAGTGTAAATATCTGCATTGATGCGATAAATGTGTTACTATATTGCAACCGGTTTCGACTCACATAGGAGTCATCGTCGGGCCAGTACAGCTTCCCGCTTCATTCGAAGGTCGTCAATTCATAATAAATAAATACATTTAACACGCACACATACACGAATACAAAAACTAACATTTAGGGTTAAAAACGAAGGGTAATACCATAGATTAAGCATACTCCCTTAGAGTACATAAGGGAGTATACTAATAATTACAAGTAATTATTAGAGTAAAATAAGTAACACTAGTTTTATCGAAACATTATATCACGGAAACTTAAAGAACGTGAAGAAATAAAGAGAAATTATGGTATAATATTGAGCAACATTTCATATACTTTTAACTATGTTGTAGTAATCATAAAATTATTATAATATCATAGAGGTAACCTCAACACCGATATCGAACCCCATGCGTATGATAGCAAACCTCTAACTTACACATTGGTGTTAAAGGCGTGATAAGAAGTGCTGTTTGATTGTTATTACAGAGTATTTTTTTATTCTACCATACCTTTTTGTAGTGAACTATATTCTTCATGCAGGTAAAATAATAAAATTTTTTATTATTGATTCGATATAAACAAAAAGAATAAAAACATTGCTTGGTTTGTTCACCATATGGAATACATACCGGCTTTGTATGAAAATTAGAATTTCTGTTGATAAGAAAACTATTGTTTTTTACTTACAAATCAATCAAATAATAATACTGGGGGCTTAACATCTTAAAGGAATCCTACGCTCAAAAAGAGATTTTGCGGCAACTAGAACACCATTTGCCGTGATTGTGCCTGCCTCAAGATGGCTTAGAAAGTACTTAAGATAATGTTACAGTTTCTGCTTTCAACTCACCGAGTAGAAATTATGTGGTTTGCGTTCATTTTATTGGAAGTACCAAGTTGTGAATCTCTAAAACAATGCAATACCTCGAAATGCCATTTACATTTTGTACTCATCATTGTGTTGCTTATAAAACGATTCTTATTATTGTGCAGTATTTGTATTGTATTGTTCTATATTTAGCAAAATTCGCATTTAACACACTACTAGGTGCTGTGTTTAAAATTAAAAAAAAAAACTTTTCGGATGCTTAAAATCATCGAAACTCATGTCGATGTAAGAAGAAGCTACTAGGGGTCAGAAAGGTATTTTGCAGACGATGCATGCACTAAAAACATCGTAAGTTGTGAGAAATCTTGATGTTAAAGGTGATATAGCATTAGTACAAGTATGTCTCATTGTATATTAATTTCATTTGACTTAAATTATGTTTTCAAATGTACAAAAAAAAAGTTTTTAAAGAATAAGTTACATAGTAATTCGTGAATTATTTTATGGACCCTTACGTATCAGTTTCTTTGCCCCTTTTAGCCAGGTCATGTTGAAGTAAGCTACATATTGTTTATTTCTTTTAAATAACAATTTATCGAAGCTTGTAGATGTAAGAAAACTAATATCAATTTCTCAAAAATAGTACCTAGACAACCCATGAATGGAATTAAGTAAAAAGTTAAAATTTATAGGACTAAGCTAATTATATAATTACACAATAACAAGTCCATTGTAGAGTTGAAAGCGTATTGTGTTATTAGTTTGACATAAAACAATAACAGTTTTCGTTATAACCCGTTAATTAGTTGCCTAATAAGCTTCAAGAACTTCAACAACAGTGTAATTGAGCTTGGGTTTGTTTTGTTGGGTGTATTTACAAAATAAATTTTATAATTCCTTTGTTTCTAAAATGTATGTTTTTATAAACATATCATCAATGTTAAAAATAAAAAAAAATCATTTAACACTATACTACATACAACAAAGTTTTGGTGGATAACTTAGATTGTATACAATATATATTTACCATGGTCCATGTGTGCAGCTTGGAAAGGCTTAACTAAAGTCAGCAGTGCGAATGTTTAAGCTGCTATGATGTATGGTCATCCTCCGTATACATTTTGTTGTGATACGTTGTTATATAATAGTTAACTTCAATATTATTATCAATAGACAATTTTAGACATAATGATAAAATATGGTGACAGTCAAGCATAATTTTAGTTTTAAGCTCATTAAAGTAACCGGCTTAAAATCTTGGACAAAATATTGTCCATTTTATAATTTTACTAGTATGTATATGATAGAACATGCATTACCTAGAGACTTGCCTCATGGACATAGACGACTGGGCATTGGGTCCCAGTGACATTCCTTTATCCAGGATGGAGGGGTGTTTAGCTCTAGGAGAGATGGAAGTGCATCATAATCTCTAACCTACCTGTGTCTGTGGTTCTTTGGGCTTCGGCCTGCTTGTTGTGTGCGACCAGCATTCAGTGGGCAAATCCTCGACTTTGGAAGTAATCTTTCCTGGAGGTGAAAACGGGCAAGTACCCGTAGCTCACGGGGACACTCAAGGGCAACGTAACTTTCCGCAGTGTGAGGGCAACGGTTTGTAGGCACTTATGCAAACCAATCCCTGTCTCTGAGTACGGACGGTATGGTTATCTTGAGTGTGGGGGGTTCTTCCCGGAACCTCAATTGAGTCAAGGGTGTCGCCACCTCTGGTGGATAGGTTCATCCGGGTGGGTCCCACTTCTATACCTGCCTCCTTTTGGGAAACCCTGATGGCCTGGCAGTGATGTTGGGTCTGACGGGCAAACGAAGTAGATCGGGTGCTGGGTCCGAGCCCGCCAGGGGTATCTGGGGATCTATCGCTCTGGTTATCTCTGGTTTCCCAGCAATGGGTAAGGCCTCGATCGGGTAGTGGTGTAAATGGGAGGTTGGGGTTCCCCCCGTCAGCGTGCTGACGGTCCCCTTCCTCCTGGCTATTGATGGCGGGTTCTGCCTGTCAGGGATTAGATAGGTCCCGAGTGTTGCTTGCACTAAATGCGTCGGGGCGCTCTACCATGGACCTCTAGGTCCTGACCTAGTGGAACCCAGGTGGAGTGACGCTTAAACAAGCAGCCGGAATCCCTGGTTAGGATTGAGGGGCAACCCTCCTTCCGAAGGGCCTGCTTCGGCAGCCGGCGAGCCTGATGACCTTAAGTCATCCGCCCATGATGTGCTAAAGGTTGATGCGTAAGCTTCGGCCTACATCATGGGGCCCGGGTATGTCCTAAAGGATAGGTACCGGGTATGCAGTCAGGGGGCTTCGGCTCTCATGACAAATAATGTAATGTAAAAAATGTAATAGCAAAATTGTCTTTGAATAGTGCAACTATAATTCTCGTAATTATAAAATCTTAAACCTGTTTTGATATGTGTTTTATATTTGTGACGTTTGAGTAATTATTCTGAATAATACACTTAAATTCTAGGACAGATTTTCCTATTTGTATTTTAATATTTGGTTGCAAAACCACAGGACAAACAATGGTTTAGAAATATAGTATTACGTTATAGTTATTTGTGCAACTAGTGAGCAAAGTGAGCAATTGACTTACTCGAGAGAAATACATACTCACGAGCCGTAGGCGAGTGAGGAATGGTTTCTCGAGTGAGGCAATTGCACTTTGAACTCGAGTTGCACATTATATTTTTTCTACAGATACCAGAAAACAAATAAATTGGTAAAGAAACGTAACATATTTTTACACAGAAATGAACTTTTAATATGACATTTAATGATACAACAGTACAACAGCTGACCAGCTGATTTACAGCCAGTGCTGCCAACGTATTTCGCGCACATACGACCTTGTCTGCATGTTACGCGCTCATTATTTCGTGCCTTCACGTTGCAAATCTGGAGTGAGACAAAGTAATTAGAGTGAGACAATGTTAACATTGTTAACATTGTCTCACTGGTGAGCGAATTGGCCACTTTGCTTTCTCAAATCAGTGAGAAAACATGTACATTGTTAAGTAACTGTAGGAAAAAATATTTTTTTATGAATACACAAATACTAACGGAGCAACCCTTAAACTTATCTCCAGCTATATGAGGTTGATAAATATACAAGGGGGTAGTTTTAATGTTTAATTCTAGTATACATGGTCAAAGATACCATACAACTTGTTATTATGGATGGTTCCGAGACCTGACGAAGTTAACCGATGTTATCCGAGGCCCGCCGAGGTTCAGACGGCTTCAGTTGTGTCTCAGCTCGCGTTCAAGCAACATCCATGTTGTGTGTGGGGTTTAAACACTCGTCACAAAACTTATCACGATCTTACTATGTAGGTAAGAACTAGTTGTAGTTTTGTTGAATGTACACAGTTTATTCCTTTAAGTGAATCTGCAATGCACCAAGACTGTGTTAAATACTAATCAATAAACATATTAATTGTGGTTTATTGATTATTTACGATTGGCAACACACTGTTATTGATGATGCTAATCGAAAGTGAATATATTGTAGGTTGTTGGTAATTATGAAAGTTAAAAGCCCACCAAGATATTACTGGAAAAAAGTTCTTTGGTATTCGTTTACAATTTTAAAGTTATTTTGAAATTAAGATTTAATAATTTTTATTTGCGGTTATTAATTAGCCTATTTGTTAAACTTAAATACTTCCAATTACCATTAATTTATTTTATATTATTTCCTACAAATAAAATTGACATTAAGCTCAGTCAAATGCTACAGTTTTTAAAACTTTTCTAAATCGATAAATATTGTATGCATTTGTCGTAATAGTTTTTTTTGTGTTATTTGATCATTATTTGCACTCAAATTACTGGAGTTATTGGATGTTCATTAAACTCGACTAACAGTTCTGAAAAATCTTAAATAATCAAACCATATTTTATTGTTTCCGTTAGACATGGGTGATTAATCAATGATGTCATCTAACAAAAGAACTTTTTAGATAGTAACTAGGCCAGAATTTTTACCGTTCCCTTAAAAAGACAAATTATAATAATGTAGGAACAAAAGTAAGGGATAAAATACCAATTTATTTTGTCAATTTAGATCTCATTGGTATTACTACTTATCTACCAACAATTTCAACATCAATTTACTCTCGGTGACCATAACTCCGTTTTTCTTGAGCTGCGTGACTAACAATATACAGGGTGACAGTTAAGTCTTAGGACAATTTTATGAATTTAAAAAAAAAGAGATATCACAACAAAATTTGGCATAGTGGTAATAGTAAGCTTTTTTTGTGTACATGGTGATCAGATGTCACATATGGGAGCGGCCCATAGGGAATAAGTTCAAAATTTTAAAGATAAGCATATATGTTGAAATGTACATCAAATTGAGGTCTTATTATCAATGCTGCAAACCGGACCTCATGGCATGGACAACTGAGTCAAAAATGTCAGCCATTCAAAGATTTCTTGAATCTGCCATTTTGAATCTTTAAACGGCTGCCACCTTTTCATCGTTAATTTGGGCTCAAATTTGTTGCATTGCATTTACTACTAAAGGACTTTAATTGTGTGTGTATATCGGCCTATGCTTACGTTAATGGTTTTCCCCCTCTTATAGGGACCTCCACCCCCTACGCATTGCAAGTTAATTAATCCTTGAACAGCTGTAATTGTTGACTCGATTGTCCTTTTGAGGTCCGGGTTGCTTCATTGTTTTTAGTTAAACAAGACATTTAATGTGATGTACATACCAATCTATAACCTTTAACCTTTAAAATTTACAACTTACTCCCTTTGGGTTCTACCCCATAGCTGACATCCGGTCACCATATACACAAAAAGTAGCCTACTTTTAACAGAAATGATATGCCAAATTTGATTGTGATATCACTGTTAAATTTATATACTTTTAAATTTATAAAGCCGTCCTAAGACATATTATTCACCATGTATAATGCACACTAATTGGACGGACAAAATCGAGTTATGAAAAATTGACTGTTTAATAATCGACAGACACATCCATAAGAGGTAACAACACAATAATAGTATATTTCGTACCTAGGGCCGAAAATGAGGGTTTGCCGGCTCGAGATGGTTTTTAAGTTCGAGACGAAGTCGGGAACTTAAAACGATCGAGAGCTGCAAAACCATTTCGGTCCGTGGTACGAACGCTATTTTTCACCACACTATAACCTATTACCACTATTAACCACAATAATAATGCACACTGATAGTCAACACAACTACAACTTTAAGGTTATGTGAAGAAATGAATTGAGAAATCAGCAACATTAATAATAAATAGTTGCTAGGCAACGGTGACAATAAAACAATTATATTGCAATGCTATGGATACCGATCGTGTATTAAATATGCATTAATGTTTTAAGAAAGTTAAGCGGACAGCTGATTTTGCGGCCCTAGGGATGTAAAAACATGCTCGGTCCCCAAATTACGATGGCAGCTGGCATGGCCAGCAAAACGTAACTTTCAGCCACCAATTAACGTTTGTAAAACAGCTAAAAACATCATAGTGTGGTGAAAACATATGTTCCTCCAACCCATTGACTCTAATTCTCTCTAGGTAATACTAGTAAAAAGTTATACGAATACTTCTCAATCAAACCTTGGCAAAATATCTGAGGCAACTTATAATCTTTGCTCGGCTGGTTTGTCAATGTAGCTTTACAACAAATGTAAAGTGTGCTGGTATAAACTATAAAGCTTTTCTTCTGCACCTCTAACACGTTACTGAGTAAAACTCTAAGAATTTAATCATCACAAACGATAAAATTAATAAATCCTAAACAAAATGTGAGAGTTTTATAAACATCACTCTGTGGTGTTACAAACGCTTAAAACCGGATTCAAACGTCACAACATCGATGAGGATGTCTGCTTTTCGAATCGATAGTCAATTAGTCAATTGGGGCTCGGCTGGCCTAATGGGTAATGGTTAAATCCAGCCAATCACCGCCCGACTATCACCTGTGTCAACTGTAGTTGATTTCGTCACTGTGCTTGATTGATGAAGGAGATGTGTACATTTTAGATCATTTATTGGATTTATGGGGAAAGTCTTATCTTAAAATAACATTTATTGTTGGATAGGACTTTGTTACATTAGGTGTGACTTGTTGGGTGAAATATAAAATTTTCGTTTGACTATATCCTTTAATTTCCTATTTGAAACGTGGATACAAAGTCCAATCTTGATGAATGTAGTGTTTTATAGATTTTTTAGAGGATCATTGATGGTACTACAATCTTGATCAAACGATGTCGTATTGTAACGACTAGAATAAAAACGGGTACTCACGTAAAAACCCAAGAAACTCAGCACAGGTAAAATGTTAATAAAGGTATGGCTCAATAATCTTTTGACAATGTCTAGAAGAAATGTTGATTTTTACGTAGCAAAATTGTCTATGGCGTACGTTGTTTAGGGTTTGTACTAACGATAAAGGGTGTTTTGGATATTTATCTTCATACAGTTGAGAAATAAAAGTATTTGAAATACTTTTATGCTGGGTTAAGAGAATATTTTATTAGCTTACTGTAGACGGAGATACCTATTGGGCGGGGAATTTACCCTACACTGTCTTACCACTAAGTTAGTCAGTTTATTATATCAACACCGTAGTTTATTCAACCTCATATGTTACAAAAAATCACATCTGTTTCCAATCACAATCTGTCATAAGAATCCATGGTCACAATTTAAATAATGGATAATTATAGATTAAAGGGACAACAAGTGATTGCCAACTTGGGATAATACTGGAAGTGCAATATCTCCCAATGATGCCTGACGATATATGTATTGGATAGCATAACACGCCGTAACAATCCATTCAAATTACCTTCCGGGGAAAGTAGTTTGACAGCCCGGAACCTCCTTTGATAACCCTTTGGAGACTGAAGCTTCCTCTCAAAACGATATGTCTTACGTTAGTCTTTGCAAAAACAAAGCGAGCCTTTTCAAACCAGCGTCCTGTACCCGACCTGGAATTGTGGTTAAGTGAAATAAATAATCTACGAAAACAGGAAACGCTCTTAAATCACTTTCAGTCAAACAGAAAGGTGAATTTATTAGAGGTAAATTGTACATTATTGATGCTGCTGGTGTGTTGGACTGAGATATTTACTGTAAGATGTTTATCTAATTCTGAGGTTACCTAGTAAATTATTGGCCTTCGGTGGCTTTTCTGTCGGACTTTACAGGCTTCATTTTATTAGCGATACAACCAAATATATATCTTCAGTTGTTTAAGGCCTTAATTTTAATCAATTGAAGGTACAATTTTAACTGAAGCAAGAATTGTTGGCCCTACTAAAGGATTTTCAAATGTTAATGATCTTTTTTATTTTCTAAAGAAGTCATACGAATCATAAACTGACAGTTGGCTTTTATAGGCAAGTTCTAAGTCCATTTACAAAATGTTAGTAATATATTTGAAACTTTTGATTTTTTTATTTTTTTCTATTCCCACACAATCTTACATAATTTATTAAGTTAATAATAATCGTGCTTGCTGTATCATATATGCAAATGCCTCCCATTTTTAACTAACCCACCACAATTACTGTCATTAAATGAAGGAACTCCAATAATACTAATGCGAAACTTAAATCCACCCAAGCTGTGCAACGGAACCAGACTGACGATTAATCAAATTACATCAAACTTGATCGTAGCAACAATCATCAGTGGTGAGTTCATGGGAGAATTTAGTCTTCCCAAGAATACCGATGATTTCATCTGAATTACCCTTTAAATTCAAGCTACTACAATTATTTCCTTTGTGTCTTGCTTTCGCAACAATTAATAAGTCACAAGGGCAATCCCTGACTATCGCCGGTTTAAATTTAGAATATGAATGCGTTTCACATAGACAGCTGTATTTTGGGTGCTCATGTGTTGGTACGCCTAAAAACTTATATACAAAATATAAGTTTTTAGGCGTACCAACACGTTGTATACACCTAATGCAAAAACAAAAACATTGTTTATCCACTGGCATTAAAGTAAAACTAATATTCTAGTTTTTGGTATTAATATTTATTTTTTATCGTTAACAACAAATTACCATTTAAAAATAATAGTTGTTAAGCGCAACAACGCGCGCTGGGTAGCTGCTAGTATACTATTGTACTGTATGTGTATACGTTTACAAATTCCACCAAAATGGATCAGTAAATGCTGTAACGATGCGCGCGCCGTTACATCTGTACAATGCAATATCGCTACACCTTTCGTTTTGCATCACAGTTAAAACAGGCGCTCTTACATTTCTAATCTTTTTGGGAATAAATAACCAGAGCAGTACAGTAGACCTTCGTATAGAAGGCC